AGAAAGACCAATTGAAAGGCTTTCCCTGCCCTACAGGTGTCTGAAGCCGAAACAAAATCAGAGGAAGCACGCCTAAAGGTTAATAGCCACTTCTTCTGCCAGATCATCAAGCAACTCCAAGTCCCATCCCAAGGCATGGAGTCCCCCAGGGAGACTGTGAGAGGGCAGGCTGCCTGAGAATAGCTGATGATGCCCTGTCCCTTTAAGACCTTTCCCCAGCCAGCCCAGCCACTTAGCAAAGAGCAACTATAACAGCCCTGCAGCAAAGCAGCTGGGTGTGGCATGATGGTGGTTGTGATCATTGTAGTGGAGCAGTTGGCGGTGAAGGGTTGTGGGTTTTGCTATTCTGTATAGGAAACTGAGAGCAACCTGAAATTAAGGAGAACTATCATTTACTTCTGCTAGTAAGTAAACCTGGGGAGAGTGTGATAACAAACGGAGACGACTGTTCAAGGATCTGCTGGTGTGTGTCCAGGAAGGCTGGAGTGGGCCCTCTGGCATATGGGAGCCCACTGAATTGGATGTAGACAAAAGGACCCTTTGACAGTCTCCAGCTCAAATAATGAGGTTTTATGGAAGGGATTCTGCCATCATTAGATTTTTTTTCCTTAGGAGGACTGTTACTTCCTTGATGTTGTGGTTGATGCTGGACCCAAAAGTTGTGATGCTAGAACTCCAAGAAGGGTACCAACCTACCCATCTAGGCCTTGGTAACATTTCTTTTAACTGGGGATACCAGGATTTGAACTGCTGCAAACAAAATAGCAATAGCACTTAGACTTATATACCGTTTCACAGTGCAATACAGCCCTCTCTAAGCGGTTTAGAGTCAGCATGTTGTCCCCAACAATCTGGGTCCTCATTTTACCAACCTCGGAAGGCTGAGTCAACCTTGAGCCAGTGAGAATCGAACTGCTGGCAGTGGGCAGAGTTAGCCTGCAATACTGCATTCTAACCACTGTGCCATCACAGCTCTTATAAATAATAAGCACTTTTCCAATTGGGTTGGCTTCCTGATATAGGAATTAAAGCTAGACCTCCTACAGGACAGATCAGGTTGCAAAAGATTGTAAGAAGCTCACTGGCACAGAGACCCCTTTTCAATCCCCTACTTGCTAGCTGTTAGTCCAGTGGTTCTCAAACTTTTTAATGCCGTGACCCCAACGGTCGTAAGTCGAGGACTAAACCGGTCGTAAGTCGAGGACTAAACCGGTTGTAAGTCAAGGACTAAACCGGTCGTAAGTCGAGGACTACCCAACCGGTCGTAAGTCGAGGACTTTCCCTGCCTGGGAGCGCCGCGCATGCGTGGTTTCGCCCCCTGCGCCAGCCAAGGCGTAGCTGGCAAGCGGCAGAGATGGAGCAGGCCGACCACCAGCTGACCCAGCCCAAGGGAGGTAAGGCACCCGCCGGAAAAAGGGGGAAAAATGGCGGACAGCCTTGCTTGGCGACCCCCGTGAAATGGTCGATCGACCCCAAATGGGGTCCCGACCCACAGGTTGAGAACCACTGTGTTAGTAACTAGACACACCAGAATTTCAATCTGGAACCTTCTGAATGCAAAACAGTCTCCTGTACACACAGTGTGAGATGATGAGCCCTCTCAGAGCAGAATAAGAATTGAGCTGCTTACTCCTCAGTTTCACTCTTGATGCCAAGCCATTCATTGATCTTCTTCTGACGAGTTCCCTTCTGGGTCAACCATCTGGAGGGATTAAAAAAAGGAACAAAAATGGCTCATTTTTAAACAGCATTTAAGGGACACGCACAAGGCTGTTCTTCCAGGCTACAGCCAAGCCTAGTAACTTAGAATGAAAATGTTGCCCACATCAAGGCGGCTCTGGTACATAATTATGAAAGGGTAATTATTTGCATCGCTCCAAATGGGTTGGAAAAATTCTAACCATTAAAAGAACAGTTTTTAAAATTATAATTAAATAACTATTGTAAACTTAGCTGTCCCAAGATCATGTTAATGTAATGTTCCGTTAGCTAACTAGAAAAAAATTACATTTTACAGGCAGGTCACACCCCCTTCAGATAAGCAACGGAGTCATTGGACAGCTTTCATCAGCACCTTTCTTAGGCTTTTAACTATTACACAGACAGTGGCAATCAGGTCGAAAGCCTTGCAAGTCTGTACTTTGCTTAGCACTGAATTGTGAGAGCACATGCATTTTACGGAGAGGCCACTAGGGGGCAGGATTATGCTATCAGAAGGCAGCTGGAAATTAAGGTAGTTCTTGATTTGGAACCCAGAATTTCCATCATAGGTCACGATGGTCCTATGTCAGTGATGGCGAACCTTTTAGAGACTGAGTGCCCAAACTGCAACCCAAAACCCACTTATGCATCGTCGGGTGCTGGGTGGGTGTGGCCCATTGGGTGGGCGTGGCTACGGTGGTAACAGCAGACTGGGTGGGACTAAAATGTTCAATCAATCAATTCCAACTTTGCAAGATCTTTTTTTTTCCTGCAAGAAGTTGAAATTGACTGATTGATTGAACCTTTTTTTTTTTTGTACACTGCGGCGGAGGCCTAAAGCGAAAAGGTTTTATAAAACCCAGCTGAAGGCCTAGGACTGGGGCGACGGTGTGCGTGCCCACAGAGAGGGCTCTGAGTGCCACCTCTGGCACCCGTGCCATAGGTTCGCCATCACTGTCCTATGTCAAGGCACCCACATGATCGACCCAATTTTATGACATTTTCTGCAGCAGTTGTTAAGCAAAGGCGGCCACTGTTAAGCAAACCCACTCCCCGAACTGGGCATTTTTTTTTGCTTGAAACTGGTTTTAGCAAAAAAAAAAGTTGTAAATTACAGTCATGTGATCTCAATAGGCTTCAAATATCTGCAGATGAGGGCTAGTTGTTGAGTGCCCAAAAAGTGACCACATGACTGTGTGTGTGTCCATGATAACTTTGAATCTGGGTCTTAAGTGCTTTGGGGGGGTGGGTTCCATTGCAACTTTGACTGGTCGCTTAGTGCTCTACCTGTACAGATGAGGACTACCTGTACAGAAGTCCAACCCATTTGGCTACGGACGGCAGATTTTAAACCGCATTGATGCTTGGTGTTTCTGGGAGGGTTAGGAAGAGCCCTTACACGAGGTATTGGTCACGCAGTTTGCGCAGCTGCAACAAGTCAGGTTTAAGACTGTTCATGCGCTTGTCGATCTCCCGGTTTTCGGAGGCCTGCTGCTTGAGGTCCTGCTCCAGCTTCATCTTGCTGTCATGAATTTCCGTAATGCGAGACTTCAGCTTTTCTGAATTCATCATGATCCTAGGAAGAAAAGACAGGCTGTTAAGAGGAGCAAGAAAAGCTCAGAAGTTGCCTTAAACACAGCCTGTTTAGTGAAGTGCTGGCCTAGAAACAGGGAGACTTGTGAGTTCTAGTCGTGCCTTAGGCATGAAAGTTGACTGGGTGACTTTCGGCCAATCACTAGGAGACTGAGTTCTAGTCCCATCTTAGGGGCTAGAAAGCTGAAAACTGACTGGATGACTTGGGCCAATCACCTGGAGACAGTGAGTTCTAATCTCGCTTTAGGAATGAAAGCCAGCTGGGTGACTTGGGGCCAGTTGCCAGGAGACTGTGAGTTCTAGTTCTACCTGAGGCACAAAAGCTGGCTTGGTGACTCTCAGCTAGTCATTCTCCGTAGCCTAAGCCACATCATAAAGTTGTGTCAAGGTAATGATTTAGAAGCTAACCAGCTTGTATAATGTGAGATGAATGATGCAGTGTTAGGAATGACTCAGCAGGAATCTGTATCCCTTTAAGAGCTTGAGTATAAAAGGGAAGGCCTTGCTGGAGTTTTTCTCTCATCTGTTTCCTGCTGTAACTGCTGTATGTTGGAGTTTGCTGTATTACCACATGTATGTATTTTGTTCCTAGTGTATATTGTAGATAGTGTAATATAAACCACCATTTAATACAAACCACTGTTTACTGTATTTACTACTTCTGGGTTACCTCAGCGCAATAAGACCATGCATGCTCTGACAAGTTGTTGTGGGGAACACAGGAGGAGGGAGGAGTATTTAGATATGTTTGCCATCTTGAGTCACTTACAAAGTAATAAAGGTGGGGGTAACAATCTAATAAATAAATAACGGCTCTGCTAGCATGGGTGGTGGAATGGAATGAGGAGATGGATCCCCAGCAGGGAGGGGCTGCATTCCAGAGGAGTAAGAGACAATTTAGCCCAGATACTATGTCTGAGAACAAGAGGGTGAAAATGGCCCCTGCTTAATGGTTCACAGAATACACAGTATTGTAGAAGCAGATAGTAGAGTCTTTAGTCTGGCAAGATTTTGCCTATGGATATGAAACAATAAAGAGCTCAGCTTGGAAGAATTATCACATGGCATTCTTGGTTTGGGATTTGACAAGATGAGAATACAGTAAAAATGAGAAATTCTTCCCCAAGTTTAGACACAACCACACTGCCTTCTTGACAACACTACAGAAGTGGTTTGTCCCAGCGTTTTTCTGGATTTTTAAATTTTTCCAGTCTAACCTACAATTCTGAGTTTCCTGGTGCTTTCCCATCCAAATACCGGGTCTAATCCTGCTGAGATTTTTCAAATCAATAATGGTGGCCCACAATAAAAGCATTTGGAAAGGCCACAGAGCACCAAGAATTGCCTGAAAATTCTAGCTTTTAACTTGACAGCTGGGGAAAATTAAACACATGGGGATTAACCCTATTAACTGTACTTCATTCATTTCAATTAACTGGAAATTGGTGTTTGTCTGGGCCCCACCACCTTTTTTCTGTTGTGAAGATCACCCCATGGGGGGGGGGAATATCTCGCTTAATTCTGAAAGGGTCTCACCGCTGCACCTCCTTCTCGTTCCCTTCCCTCCGGAAGCGCTCCACGTAGTCCCGGCTGCATTTCTCCTGCGTCTGGCATTGCTCTTCAAAGATCTTGATGGTTTCATTGAAGGCCTCAATGGCCGTCCGTTTCATCTGCAGTTCCTGAGCAGGAAGGAGAAGGAGGGCAATGAAGTCAAGAGGAAGGAATATCTTTGCAGAGGGAGGGAACAAGGAAACCCACAATAAATAAGTAGCAGCGCGGTTGTAAATCGTGACAGTCGTAAGGTTGATTTTTGCAGCGGCTGTTAAGCAAACGCTGCGGTTGTTAAGTGAAACAACGGCTTGCTATGGGTGCCGTTTTGCCCAAAACCAGAAGGGCAGGTTTTCAGCAAAATTGTTATAAAATGTGGTCGTGACTGTGCTATGCTGCAAATGATCATAGATGCTGCCTGGCTGCTGAGCGCCTGAAGTTCGGTCACATGACTGCAGGTGGTGGTGGCAGTGGTGGTGGCACTGTTGTAACTGTGAATCCAGGTTGTAAGGACTCCCTTGTACACAGGTGTCCAACCTTTCCGGGCTCAAGGACCGGAGGGAAGGAGAACAGCTTCAAAATTGGTGTACACACATGCGAGGCCACAAACACTCTTGTGGCACTAGCAGCCCTGTTCGCACATGCAGCATGTGCTGGCGTTGTGCACATGCACGAACGGCCACGCACCCCCCAATGGCAGCTAGCAGCCCATTCACGCAAACGGGCTGCGGACACCCGCCCTGCGCTAGCATCTCCTTTTGCGCCCGTGCGCATGTGCAAACAGGGCCGCGGGCGCTAGCATGAGTGTGTGGGGGGGAAATGCCGCAGAGCATAGGTTGGGGACCCCTGCCCTAGTTGGTCCATCATAAGCATTCTAAGTTCTAGACTAGGGGGCCATGAAAGCGGCGGGTGAGCGTGTAGTTCCACTTTTGCATGCAGTGGGCGGGCGAGCCTGCCACTTGTGCAAATGGAGCTGCGTGCTCACCCGCTGCTTGCGCGGAACCATCCTCTCTCCCCCCATCCCCCACGGTCTGCAACACCAGAAAGGTTGGAGACCGCTGTTCTAGACGCTTGATTAGGTTGTAAGTCAAGGACTACCTGTAGTCTTTAAAGAAGATTTTAAAGTGGGCAGGCTAAGTACCTGCGAGGTGCGTGTGTATTCTTCGTACAGAAGGTCGTACTCGCGACTCTTGTCCTGGTACTGCTGGTGATAGACTTTCAGCTGCTCCCCAACCGCTTCCACGCTGTCCTCCTTCACTACCTGGTCCTGCCAAAACAGAACAAAGAATTAAGAGAACGAACGTTACCACCCCTGGAAATGATTATGAGAGAGGTTCATAGGGAGCATCCTCCCCCAAAGCAAGACACTGCAAAATAGTTGGCCAAGTTTCTCTTTAAAGAAAGAAACCCTCCTTAAAACAGTTCGCTTAACTGCTCTGGGAGAAGCAGAGTTGGCAACTTTCTGTAATTTAACCTTCCTGGGTTTTAACATGCTTGGCTCCTCTTTAGTTCGGAGAAAGCCACTTTTCCCTTCTTTGTTCCAACAGTGAATTGCTTGCATATTCCTCCCTTTCCGTGTTCTTTTGGGTAAATTACTGAGGCCAGCAGACCAATTCTTTCATTGATTAATTGAAGATTAATGTCTGGTCACCCAAGACAGCCTTTTCAAGTCTGCTGCTTTCCAAATGTAGGGATAATGGAAATAGTTACACATTACACCTCCAGGTTGCCGGGACAGCAAGCATCTAAGACTGCCATGGTTAATTGCTGCCAAATGTCATTTTCTGATATATTACTTAGTCTAAATCCATTTTTTAAATTTAACAGCTCTAGCAGTTGAGGTAACTAGCTCAGCATTCTCTTTCCAAAGAGAAGGCAGCGAGGGCAGTAAAGAAACAGCACAGGGAAGCACATAAATCTAGGAAACAATTATTTTCCCTTCTTCTGCACAATTAGTTTACAAAGACCAACTGCTGCTAGATATGGAGGCTTTGCTCAGCGACCTCAGCTTGCTGATAGGAAAATTCCCCTATGAATTTGCCTAATCTTTGGACCGTAAATCCAGCCCAGAGTCCTGTTTGGACCATAGGTCAGCTGTATCCTCCAATGGGCCGCACACCAAACAGGAGATAGTTATCTTCCATGTGAGTTCTTAATATCCAGCATCAGACTGCTTCTTGAGGAAGACATTTCACTTAGCAATCATAACCAACATCTCTACCCACTTCAGATCGGTCGAGTTCCTTCCATCCAGGAAGTGGTCAGGTCATTTGGCGTCCTGTTTCTGACGGAGGCACGTTCTGTTGGTGCACAGTGAGTAACAACTACATCTCACCTGCTGGTACTTGGAGATTGGGTACAGTAACCGAGTGTCCAGCTTGGCATTGTACTGGGCCAGGGATTCATGCCGGTAGTGGTTGATGAGTTCCACCACAGAGCCAAAGGTCAGCGGCTCTGAGAAGCCATATTTGCCTTCCCGGTGGAAAATCTTGATCAGTTTGTTGTTTCCCCCTTTCCTGTCAAGAGAGAGAGAGGTCCTGACATTCAGCCCAAGAAAGCTTGGAAGTGACACACCGCCCCTCCACCTCGTCTCCTTACCCAGTGCATGTCTGGGCCCTCATCCTCTCTAAAGCCCAAACCCAGAGAAGAGACAGTAGATGCGGTCCAATCCTCTATTGCAGTGATGACGAACCTTTTAGAGACTGAGTGCCCAAAACCCGCCCCGCCCTGTCCCACTCCCGCCCCGCCCGCTCCATCCCTGCCCACCCCGCTTTGCAGGGCCACCCGCTGCCTCCATGGCATGCTGCAGATCGCCCAGTGGCCCTGCAGCGCCATGGTGGCCACACCTTCCGCCCGCGCCCTGCAGCATCATCTGCACGCGACAGAGCACGAGGGCGGAGTCTTGTCCCTGCTGCCCTGCTGCCATGTGCTTGGCTGCGCTGCTCTGTGCGGGCCCCGCCTGGGGGCGACTCTCCTCGGGGGGGGGCTGCTGGTGAGGAGGGAGCCACGGGGGAGGCAGGACTGAGATGATGCGCGCATGCCCACAGAGAGGGCTCCGAGTGCCGTCTCTGGCACGCGTGCCATAGGTTCGCCACCACTGCTCTATTGCTTACACCCAATGGACAGAATTTTGCCAAGCTAAAGCTATAACTTTCTAACCCACTAGATATATTCTGAGAGATTCTAGGGCAGTGGTTCTCAACCTTTTTAATGCCGTGACCCCCAACTGGTCGTAAGTCGAGGACTAAACCGGTCGTAAGTTGAGAACTAAACCGGTTGTAAGTCGAGGACTACCCAACCGGTCGTAAGTCGAGGACTTTCCCTGCCCGGGAGCGCTGCGCATGCGTGGTTCCGCCCCCCGCGCCGGCCGAGGCGTAGCTGGCAAGCGGCAGAGACGGAGCAGGCCGACCACCAGCTGGCCCAGCTCAAGGGAGGTAAGGCACCCACCGGAAAAGGGGAAAAAATGGCGGACAGCCTTGCTTGGCGACCTCCATGAAATGGTCGATCGACCCCAAATGGGGTCGCGACCCATAGGTTGAGAACCACTGTTCTAGGGTGTGGCTACCCTAAATCTTTTCTCCTGTTGTCCCTTCTAGTCTGGAACTATGCAAGCTCTTAACCCAGGCTTTCTCTGGGAAAGTTCTGTGTCCCGTTTCCCCCCCACCCCCAAACTGCTCTTCTAGGTGCATATTCCATCACATCAGCCCTCCAATCAAGTTAAACTGGGGCTCACCGGAGAGTCAATGTATATTCACCCTGGATCTTGCTAGAAGCATCCCTCACCAGGAAGGTACCATCAGGAGTGTCTCGGAGCTTTTCATTCACTTCCTCTCTGAAAAGGAGGCAGGAAGATTCGGATCGTTTCAAATATTTACGGTCCCCATACACACAAATGTATACAAGCATGGTGGCAATGCTGTTGGGAGGAGCCCCTGTAAGCGCCAGGCCTCATCTAGAAAGCTAACCTCTCAACCAGAGTAATCTGCCTAACATGGGCGGCCATATCTATTTGTAATGTGTGTTTGTTTATACAATATAAAGGCAGCCCAACTGAAAGAAAAGTAAAGAAAGAAAGAAAGGAGATAGAGAGAAAAGAAAAGAAAAAGGAAATGAAAAGAAAAAGAAAAAGAAAGAAAGAACATCAGTCATCTTGTATCCTCTCTACTCTGTCTGCTCTATTTAGTTCCCTGATACTCTCTATGTGAGAAGAGAAGAGAAGGATATGGGTGCGATTGGCTAGCCATGAGCCAGGAGAAATGGAAAATAACATGGCTGTTTTGAAGGCACCAAGAATTGTAGGTAAGTCTTGGGAGAAAGGGAAGAAAAGTTCAAATTCCCTCTTTACACAAGAAAAGAATATGGTGGTATCATGTCTCAGAAGGAATTCACAGAATAAGCCTCAAATGATTGTGTTTATGTGTGTTTGCACTGCACATACACCCCCCCAACCCACCTGGAACCACCGTTTAGTTGCTGCTTGATATTCATCTTCCTAATATTCTCCTAAGAGCCAATCCCCTCTGATTTTATTTTATCCTCACAACAACCCCACAAGGTACGTTGGGTGGAGAGACAGGGACTTGTGCAACAAGCTTTGTATTGACCCACGTTTTGCAATATTGTTCTTCAAATGCTGGTGCCAGCCCTGGCTTTCCAGGAGCGAGATCCTCTCTACTCAATTCTTCCTCAGCCCCAAGGAAATGGCAAGTGGGACAAAGAATACCAGGCACCTTAATTGCCAAGGAGCACCTGACTCTCAAAATCCACAAGGTGGTATTGCTTTCTGCAAGGATCCAAATAGTTTAGACAGCCATTTGTTTGAAATGGTATAGGGCAGGGGTAGGCAACCTCGGCTCTTTTATGACTCATGGACTTCAACTCCCAGAATTCCTGTCAGCTATGCTGACTCAGGAATTCTGGGAGTTGAAGTCCATGAGTCATAAAAGAGCCGAGGTTGCCTATCCCTGGCATAGGGTCTCCTGCTTGAGCAGGTGGTTGGATTAGAAGACCCCCGAGGTCTCTTCCAATTCTATTATTCTATGTTCTAGATCTCTTCTTTTAAACAGTTTCCTAAAAATAACTTGGAGGTGTCATTTTTGACAGAAGAAAGACAGGCAAGACCTGCTGTGTTTCTCCAAAAATAAGCCCCACCCCCAAAATAAGCCCCAGTTAAGATTGTCAGCCAGACGCATTTAGTACCACATTTCCCTGAAAATAAGACCTAGCTGGAAAATAAGTCCTAATGCGTCTTTTGGAGCAAAAATTAAAATAAGACCTGGTCTTATTTTCGGGAAAACATGGTAGTTCATTTATAATTGAATTAACTACTGAATAGTTAATTAACAGGGCTAGATGAATCAAAAGTTGGAATTAAGATTGCCGGGAGAAATATCAACAACCTAAGATATGCAGATGATACCACTCTAATGGCAGAAAGTGAAGCGGAACTAAAGAGCCTCTTGATGCGGGTGAAGAAGGAGAGTGCAAAAGTTGGCTTGAAACTCAACATTAAGAAAACCAAGATCATGGCATCCGGCCCTCTCAATTCCTGGCAAATAGATGGGGAAGAAATGGAGGTAGTGACAGATTTTATCTTCCTGGGCTTCAAGATCACCACAGATGGGGACTGCAGCCAAGAAATTAAAAGACGCTTGCTCCTGGGGAGGAAAGCTATGGCAAATTTAGACAGCATACTAAAAAGCAGAGACATCACCCTGCCAACAAAGGACGTATAGTCAAGGCCATGGTTTTCCCAGTTGCAATGTATGGATGTGAAAGTTGAACCATAAGAAAGGCTGAGCGCCAAAGAATTGAGGCCTTTGAAGTATGGTGCTGGAGAAGACTCCTACGAGTCCCCTGGACTGCAAGACAATCAAACCAGTCAGTCCTAGAGATCGACTCCGACTGCTCTTTAGAAGGCCAGATCCTGAAGTTGAAATTCAAGTACTTTGGCCACCTAATGAGAAGAAAGGACTCACTGGAGAAGAGCCTAATGCTGGGAAAGATTGAGGGCAATAGAAGAAGGGGACGACAGAGAATGAGGTGGCTGGATGGAGTCACTGAAGCAGTAGGCGCGAGCTTAAATGGACTCCAGAAGATGGTAGAGGACAGGAAGGCCTGGAGGAACGTTGTCCATGGGGTCGCGATGGGTCGGACATGACTTCGCAACTAACAACAACAACAACTGAATAGTTTATCAACAGAGCAAGGAAAGTCTCAGCAAACTCTTCTGTTGCCCTTCCAGAGAGTCCCATTCTGAGCCAATTGTTCCTCCCACCTACTCCCCGTGCTACATTCTAGCTGACTTGGGTCCCCCTTTACCTGGAGATGTCTCCCCAGTACCACTCTGCATCCTGCAGGGTTGTGCCATTCCCGTTGGTTAGAGAGGCTGCAGCAGGTTTCGCTTTGGGTGGCTTTGGAGGCAGAGCTGGAAAAGAGAAGACCAGGTTGGCTGAAAGGGAGGCACTCTTCAACCCTGTGCTGGAGGACCACCATGCTCTTTGAAAAGGAGCATGGAGACCCAGTGGTGTCTCATCAAGAAAGTCCTCCCATTCCTCTCAATTATAGGCAGAAGAATCAACCCACCCTGGAGGGGTTTAATGAACTAGGGACCTGGGCATTCAGCTTTGGCGTACACTTACACTCTTTCTAGCCTTCCTCAACCTGTTGCTCTCCAGATGTGTTGATCTTCAACTTCCTAGCCAACTAGTTCAGTACATCTGGAGGAATCGCTGGGGAAGGCTGCTGCCGTGTTCCAACTACATCCACTTGCCTCCTTGGCCAAGCATCCCATCCTCACAATCTTCTCCTGCGCCATACACAAAGACACAAGGGCTTCCTACCTGGAGGGGGAAGATCTGGCTCAGGGTCCTTGGTTTGCAGAAGGGTCTCCAGGAAGAGGGTTGGAAAGTCAGGGGTCGTCTCAGAGCTGCGGGAGGAAAAGGACAATGTTATGCATCGGAGGTACACGGGGATAGCAGCTTAGCATCTCGGCTATTAAAAGGAATTCAGACCCCGAGTTCCTCACTCTGGGAAAATAATTTCTGAACATACAGGCTTTCCTCTTTCATTGATAGAGAATATTTGGTAAGCTGAGGGTTGAAATGAAGAGTCCTCGGTGCTCTCTAAGCTTGGTTGTTTTCTTGCAGGCTTTTTTATTACCCAAACTAAGTAACATCATCGGTGCCTTTCATGCCAGAAACTGCCATCTGTCTGATCCGCCCTGACCCTCATTTCTGACTAGAAATCCAAACAGAATCTAAATCAAATAAAGGAGAATATTTGCTGCTCAGGATTTGAAGTGAAGGGTCCTGGGTGCTCTCTGAGCGTGGCTGTTTTCTGGCAAGACCTTTCATTACCCAAACAAGGTAACATCATCAGTACTCATTGGATAATGAAATGTCTGCAAAAAAAAACAACTAAGCTCAGAGAGCACCAAGGACCCCTCAGAATCCAAAGCCACAGATTAAACATGACATCCTCATCACAGAATTGGAACAACAAGGACCATCTAATCCTACCCTTGGCAATGTGCCCCAAACCAACTAAACCAGGGGTCTTCAAAACATAGCCCTTTTCTGACTTGTGAACTTCAACTCCCAGAATTCCTCAGCCAGCGTGCCTGGCTGAGGAATTCTGGGAGTTGAAGTCCACAAGTCATAAAAGAGCCAAGTTTGAAGACCCCTGAACTAAATAATGCGGATAACCATGGCAGCCCAGCATCTTCTTACAAGCTTCCAGAGATGGAGAATCCACAACCTCCATAGGCCTGCCAGTTCCACTGTTGTAGAGGTCTTTTTTCTCTGCTCTCCTCTAAAAGAGACCTCCCCATTCCATCCTCTCTTTATCTTTATTACATTTATATGCCATTCATCTTGCTATCCAAAGTGACTCTTACAATGCAAAAAAATAAAAGAAAAGAAATAGAACTATAAAAACAATTACAAATATAGGAAGCATTAAAATTACAAAAATTAAATACAACTTTAGTTCCATTTTAAACAAGGATTGGCCCAGCAGCCTTCCAAATGTACTTCCAACCCCCTGTTGTATTTTCAGGAATGCTGATATAAAAGGGAGAATCCTTGCCCCAAGGCAGAGGGGGATTTGGGGCCACCCACCTGGCAGCTGCAGGGAGCCGAAGGAGCAGAACCCCAAAGATCTCACTCAGGGTCCGAGGCAACAATCCATTGCTTTCAGCTTGTTCAGCCACCTTGGAAAAGTGCCGGAGCAGGAACTGGAAAGTGAGGAGGTGTGGCAGAGGCATGGCTGGAGACTCCAACACCGAAAGCAGCTGCTTTTGACAAAGCTCTGTTTGGGTAACATCTACAGAGGAGCAGGAGTCGGTTTCCAAAAGGAAAAAGAGAGTGAGACTTGAGAATCTGTGCATCTTTGCACCAAAAGGCTGGGCATACTGAAACATGTCTATGTCTGCTAGGAAGACCGAGGAAGCAGGCACTCCTTACATACCTAGAACCTCACCAAGCGTTCAAATTAAATCCTGGGAGAAGAAATCATGGAGGGAATCCAGAGGTTACAGGGCAAATTACTGTAGGGGGTTTGAGAAAACAGAGGCTGAAGCAAAGGTAGAGAAACAGGATATGATGTCAATCCTGCTGACCGATCAGCTCTTTGGCTTCTCCCGTCTCTGAGATGTTTTTATGAGGGAACTTTTAAGAGCTGATGCCTGGATTGATTGATTGGCTGATTGTGTATTTTCTTCTCAGCCATTTCTCTTTTATGTTGTGTATTTTACACTGTAAGCTTACATGCCAGGACGGATATCTTTCTTACCGATTTTACATAAGCTGTGCTGGTACAATGCGGGCAAAAAGGATTTAAGTCAGTGTTTATTTTTTTTTTTAAAAGGCTCTGTTCTGCCAGTCCCATACTTCCTGGTCTTTGTCCCAGCTTGCAGCGGTTTGTGCCTCTCTCCTCCCTAATCTCCACTCCGAAGCCTTCCTTTCCCTAAAAAAACCTCTTCTCACCTTGGAGCACTCGTAAGATTTCACCCTGCACACAAGGGGGTACCACCGGGGTTGGCAGATCTTGCAGGTACCCCTTGAGAGCCTCGCCCAGGGAATGCACATCTAAGGCCTCCAAATCGCCAGTCACAGCCCAGTCTGCAGGGACAGAAACAGTCAGAGAGAAAAGGGATCTGTTCCAGGAAGCAACTCAGAAGCTGACCCCGGTTCATTCTGGCTGGGTTTTCATCTCCCAGTTTACAGCACTGATTCTCCTGACAATTCTAACCATGGGAAATGTAAGCAGAACTCAAGCAATGGCTCTGCCATCAGTTTTTGGCACCCTGGCTCTAAGGTAGGGGCTGGCTGAGGAATTCTGGGAGTTGAAGTCGACAAGTCTTAAAGTTGCCAAGTTTGAAGACCCCTGAACTAAACAATGCAGATAACCATGGCAGCCCAGCACCTAAGGTCTTAAATATGGCATGGTGGACTACTGTTGATCCATTATGTCATCCAGCCTTGCACCCTACCAACAGCAGACACCGCTCATAGACCTTGTTACCACACCTACTAGGCCTTCTGACCCTCAAATTTCCTTAAAGTTCCTTTTAATACAAGCATTTCCCAGATGACATAAACTAACTTGCATGGGCTACAGTGAACGGAAAGAATTCAAATCATGGTAGCTGAAAGTTCACAGATGCACCAGTGTGGCTGCTGGTGGTTTTGGCATCCACGCACGTGGCGGCCAATCTAAGCAAAAGTTGACTTTCAGAAGGAATCCAAGAACAAAGCACCATCAAGTATCAGCTAGTTTTAAAAAAAAAAACCTCAATGTGAGTTTAGAAAATAAAAATGGGGGTGGGAATGTGTTCCACCAGCCTAGGATCAACATTTCCTGACAAAGCTGAACTGAGATGGCCAGAACTCGGGAGGATTTTAGGGATGGTGACAAAAAGCAAGCTTATCTGTTTTTCTTCTGGTAAGTGGTGGTTTGGTGACTTTATCTCTATCGTGGCAGCCATGTTGTGAATGCACGACACAGACACCCACCCACTCCCACGTCCGTGGCATCCATTTTGCAAGAGGGCCCATAACATGCTTCCCCAATTTAAATGTGTGCAGCGTTTCCCAATTTATTTTCTCTTCCTACGCATACAGAAAATCCAAGTGGAGTAAGATCTTGAACAAGAGTGGCCTTCTGCCAGTCAAAATAGTCCATTTAGGGTGAGGTGGCCAACTTGGCAATGTCCTAAGATCTTCTGCCTGCAGAACACAAGGCCACACAAACCCAGAGAAAAATATTCAGAACGCTGCAGATGGGTGGTATAACCATCCGGCTTCCCTCCGCTTTTGAATTTAGAGTGAGTTAACTAAAGGGGCTCATGAATCACAGGGTGCTTTCCGGCTTTTTAAACCGGAACGAAGTGCTCTGCCCCTCTCTACCTGCTCACCCTTTTGCTTCTGCCCTCCCTGCCTGGATCTGCTGCTGAGAAGCTCTGAATGCAGGCGCTGCTGCTGCTGCTGCAGCCTCTAATCTCTTCCATCTGATCAGCCTTGCTTGTTCCCCGCAGAACTGGTTCTTACCGGTTCTCAATGCTTGCCTTAGTTCGGAGCCAGATGTTCTGTAGAGCATCTTGCTGTCTAACCCTGTGAAAGCAATACACAGCAGATTGGATTAGCTTCACAAAGGAGGTGGTGTTTTTTTTTTTCCTGGAGGGGGCAGGGAGCTGGGGACGCTGCACTTTGGGGGCAGGGGGGAAAAAAATGAAGGAGGAGGGACAATGCTTAGAAAAAAGAACAGTTTTCCTTTTCTGTTTGCCCACCTGCACATCTTCATATTTATACTTTGTTGTCCCATCGTTTCCTTAAATTGCTCAGGACACTCATTTCATTCATACACCAAGAACCCTGTAAGGCAGGGGTCTTCAAACTTGGCCCTTTTATGACTTGTGGACTTCAACTCCCAGAATTCCTCAGCCAGGCTGAGGAATTCTGGGAGTTGAAGTCCACAAGTCATAAAAGGGCCAGGTTTGAAGACACCTGCTGTAAGGTTAGAGTAGGCTGAAGGGGAGGCTGAAGGGGACTGATTGGGACAATGTCACCCGATGAGCTCCCACAGCTCAAGTTATGAATCTGGTCTCCCCAATCCTCGCCTGTTACTCCAATCGTTACCTCAGATTGACTCATGGAGGCCTACCTACTATGGCCACAGAGCGGAAATATCGGTAGCGCCAGCATCCCAAGGGATCAACCCTTCCAAAAAGGGAGAGAAGAGAGATTTACCATGCACCCTCCCTCTTAAGAGAATTAACCACAGGAAGGACCCTGCCAATATATTCCTCCATTCAACTCCACTTCCGCTGATTTGTCTGTGCACCCAACATGCTAAATCTTAACCAGGCTTTTGAAAAGATGGGATGTGCATTGAACATAAGCCATCATCTGTTTGCCAATTTCGGCCACAAGCCTCTTTTGACCCAGCAACCCCTGAGCCAGACAGTCTCCGAGCCACCAGCTCTAGAGTATGATTCCTCCCTTCTATTAAGTCCTTCCTACCTAGAAAACAAGGGACTAATAATACAAGTTTAATTTTTTTTAAAAAAATGGCTACACTAGAACTATTTATACTCCATTAGATATGAACAAGCCATTTATTTGCTTGCTTTTACTTATTAACATTTACATTGTTTTTTTTGCTCAGGAATTCAAGTAAGCATCAATAGGGCTCTGCTCCCTCCCTCATTTTTTCTACAACAACCCTGTGAGGTAAGTTGGATTGAGAGAGTGGCTTAAACCTACCCCATGAGCTCCTGTGGTTGAAAATGGACAAAAATCTAGGTCTCCCTGATACAGTCCAATCTGTTAACCACTAGGTCACACTGATTCCTTATTCTCCATCATAAAGCACCAGGTGGTCTCCCATCCAGACTGTCTTAAAGCAGGGAAGCTTCAAGAAGTACCCTCCATACACCAGTATCCCCTGTATAGCTTGCAGACGCTGCCCCTGGCCCCAAATCTCACACCATTCTGCTGTCTCCCTTGGCTCACCTTTCTTCTCAATCACATCCACCAGCCTACACAGCAAAGGTGGGGCGACCTCGGGTGGGGCAAACTGCTCAGAAAGTTCTGGAAGTGTCACCCCTGAAACATAGGCAGAAAGACAGGTCAGAAAAAGGCCTGAGATAGTTGGGGAAAGAGAAAAGCAGATTTCAAAATGGAAGACCTTTTTAAAAAAAATATTTATTAAATTTTTAATAATTTTTTAATAAATTGTCCATCGCACTCTCCAAGGCAACTCTGGAAATAGAAGAAAAAAACATGCATTTTTTTTCATGGTATAGAGAAGGGATTGGGGGCTCTATAATGCCCCAGGCAATTGCTCTGGGCTCAAAATTAGGGTGCAATAACAGGAAGCCACAATCCTTGTGATTAAGTGACAATTTCTAGACTGGTTGCCTTGAGTTGCTCGGCTCACTAAAATTCCTAAATCCAGAATTTTGATAAAAATGGGGAAGCTATTTACAGTAGTGACATTGAGAGGTCAGAGTTATTCTCAACTTGGGCAGCACCAAAATTTAATTAAATAAATAATACTTTGAAAACAACATGGAACTCTCTTCCCAAAATTTTTTTCACAGTTTTTCCTTGATTTTTAGTAAGCAAGGTATTTACGAGAATTATTTTTTTGGGGGAATGATCTGTACCTGATAAGAAATTGTATTTGATAACTGCATATTAAAATACAGTTTTGGTACATTTTTCACTTATCTCATTGGTTGTATTTTATACATTATATGAGCAGTGGCAAGTATTTTTAAAAGAGAAACATGGATATGTTTAATTGTTTAATTAAACAATATGTTTAATATGTTTAATTGTTTCTAATGTTTTATACTTGTTATTAACCATTTGTGACAAGGGTGGCTATACCTTGATGTACGACTAGTTGCTTAGCAACCTTCTGAAGTTACAGCATACCTCAAAAAAGCTATTTAAAAAATCTAACCTGGATTCGAAATTCCAGCATCCATACCCCTCACGGTTACATGCCCGCATTTGGCATGCTTGGCAATTGGCCCACATTTATGGCTCTGTCCCGTAGCCATGTGAATGCAATGCATAATGTTTTTGCCAAAATCAGCACTTTTGCTATGTTTACACAACATACTTTACCCTAAATTTGAGGGAGCAATATTTCTGGCAAAAAAAGCCACACAATGGAACAATGGATTTGCTTAACGACCGTGACCTTTGCTTAATGACCATAGCATTTTCTTTACAACTTCTGCACAAAAAGGCTGTACAATCAGGTGTGGTCACATGGAAACTCGCTTTATGACCCGTCACGGCTTATGGATGAAATTGCAGGTTTAATTACAGTTGTAAGAAAAGGGCTACCTGTATAAATTTGATAAGTAACTATGTCCAGTAATAACCTATCATTAATACAGCTACTGTGACCTATTATTAATACAGAACCACAATGAAAGGAATGAACTATATAACCCAGAACCAAGGCTGAGTTCCTACAACTCAGGACATTAGGTTCAAATGACGTGCGTAGTTTGTGATTCAGCATGATATGGGACATCCAATGATTGTCTTAATGTGTTGTGTGATCAGGTCATCACAGTAAGCAAAACAGGTTTATATGAGGACGGTATGTGACCCGTGCAAGTGTGGGACATTGCTATCTCAAATTTAGGGTAAAGTAAGTTGTGTAAACGTAGCCAATCAGTGACTTAGGAATTAGGATCCTTACAACTGCAATTTAGGATAATAATACTGGCATGTTTTGAATGATCGTTGCAAAGATTATCAATGGTATAACTCAGGGGTAGTCAACCTTGGCTCTTTTATGACTCGTGGACTTCAACTCCCAGAATTCCTGAGCCAGCTCCACGAGTCATAAAAGAGCCAAGGTTGACTACCCCTGGTATAACTGAAGGGGCTCTAAGGAGTCACATTTTTAATGAACTCATTGTAAAGTTTTTAATGAACTCAATGTAAAAAAAAAAAAGGCTGGATGATCATAAAGGTGGAACCTGTCCAGATGCTAAGGGCCAGAATTTTAATCTTTATATTTATACATTTATAATCTCCGAGAACCACAAAAGCGGCAGGGAGCTTGCACAATGTCCTGCCAATTCTCCTGGTTTTATTTAAAGAAGGTCTGGTTTTTCTAGACTCTACTGGGCATCTGGCAATCAGTTGGCTTCACTTGTAAAACAGATGCCAATTTCTCCTGGCCAGGAGTGCCCTCTGCAGCTGCCTTGGGCTCTACTTTGCACTCTGTAAGAAAAAGGGGTTTAAAACCTATTCCTACCTCTTTTAAAGCGCCGTCAGTCACCCTGTTCAAAAAATGCCAGAAACGCTCTTGGACTGTTTTCCTGCAAGCTGGCCTTAGGCCAGAACTGGCCCCCAAGCCTCACAGCCGACGGCGTCAAATCCTCTGGCTCAGCCAGAGAATGTCAAGTCAGCACATTCCTGCTTGTGAAACAGTGTGTGCATGCACGCACGTTTATCTGTGCCTCTCTCTCTCTCTCTCTCTCTCTCTGTGTGTGTGTGTGTGTGTGTGTAAAATGCATACACCAAGCTGGCCATTTCCCCCCTCCAATGGTTCAGCATTGAGCCTCTTTTCTTCAATGAAAATTACCTGATAAAAAGGAAACGGGAAGGAAACCTGATTGTGGCTGTCTGTAAAGAATTCTGTTTCTGTTCTCAGCCACCTTGATAAGAATTTTTTAAGGGAAAATGGGAGAGAAATGAGCCAAGAGAACCTTTTGTTTCTGGTGCTATTATTATTATTATTTTTTTTCCAGCGAGCACTCAAACCATCCCCCCTCCCCCCCATTGCTCACAAATGGATGTAGAAAGTTTTTCAAATTAGTTTCAATCTGGCAATTGTAAACCAAAAAATCTCACGCCTGCCCAGCTAAGGAGAAGAAACGAAACTTCTTCCTAGAAATATTTGCCTCAATTGGTAGCACTGCGCCCAGATTATTGTGTTTTCTCACAATCTGTCCAGACTTTTTGGGGCCAGCCAAGAAGTAACAAGAGTCATCACGGCAAGGCAGGGATAGGGGTTCAGAGAGAGCTCAGTCCATAACCCACCAAGGATGATATTAGTAGTAAAGTCACATGTGAAAAAAAAGAAAGCTGAGTCATTCATTCCGAAAAGCAGCAGGAACCACACAGGTTCTACAATATCAGGAAGGGGTCATTATCTCCCAAAGATGTGGTTTACGACCACAATTAAGCCCAAAATTTCTGTTGCTGAGCAAGACAGTTCATTGAGTTTTGCTCCATTTTATGACTTTTCTTGCAGCAGTTAAGTTAGTAACATGGTTGTGAAGTAAACCTGGCTTCCCCATTGTCTTTGCTTATGACCAAAAAGTGAATCTGTTACCAAGTGTCTAAATTTTGATCCCATGACCATGGGAATGCTGCAATGGTCATAAGTGTAAAAAATGATCATAAATCACTTTTTTTTGTGCCATTGTAACTTTAAACGGTTACTAAATGAACCGTTGTAAGTCAAAGACTACTTTTAATAGTAAAAGAAGAAAACGTTTATTGAGAGAGAAAAAATGATAGCTGTTTAAAGAAAACTTCTCTTTAGTTAGGTTTTCGACCAATTTTGTCTAACCAGACATCCTCCATTCTGTTGTGGACTATAAGTCCTAAAATTCTTAGCCATAGAGGAGTCCACACTATATGGTCAAAAAACTCAAGATGGTGGCTGCAATGGTACAATCAAACTCTACCTGTTTTTTTTATGTGTGGTTGACCACATCCCAGCTTAACCAGCTGGGAAATCCAACTCTCCCATTTTTGCAAAGTGCCAAATTGGGATGCCTCTATCCATCAACCATTTAATTTCACATGCCTAAGATCCTCGCTTCTGGCATTATTTATAAGCATTTTTACAAAAATAAATCCATCCTTCTTTTTAACATTTGCAGCTCCCTGTTGGAATACCTGTTTAGTCCATTAAAAAAACATATAAATAGGTTTACGATTTAATGGAACAACAACACATCCTGGCAGGACATCCTCTTCTGGACTGGCTAAGTGCTGGGAAGCCTAATGAGAAAAATGGTCTCCCTCGGCTAGCTTATGATTTCTTTTCAGACAACCTAAAACGCCTCCCTGCACTTTGAGGTGGTGGTAGTTGCTGTACATGACCCCGAGGCCACACTGCTTGCTGGCTTCAAGTGTGCACCCAGGCATCACCTCTCTGCAGATGCCCCCTATTCTGGGTAAGGCATCTCAAGCCTCAGGGCTGTTCCTGCTCTGCGGGGACAGATGGCAAGTCCAGCCAACAGGAACCAGGAAACTGGTTGGAACAGAACAGTGAAAATGGTGTGTACTTGTTGCTGGTGACTTTCCCTGTACTGAACGTTTCTGGAACAGCATTTTTCAAAAGCCCGACCTGAAGCTGCACCGGTTCTCTTTCTTCCTCCCTCTTGTAAGCCCTTCCTCTCAGTTTGCACCCTGATGCAAGTACTCACCCTGATCCTCCGGAGCATGGGGTACTCCTGTTCCAGGAGTGGCGGGCAGAGGCCTGGTGACCCTGGGACGATGGGACGGGAGGGAGATTTTCACTGGCCCCACATACTCCACATAGGTGCCTGGGAAATCCCCCTTTTGTTTGGTGCGCTCGTTGACCCCCAGAATCCAGCCAATCTGGTTTGGCATTTGCTCATCTCCATCCTTAAAGCCCAGTGCCTGCAAGGCCCCCTTGCTCACCACCAAGGTGTCCCCGGGTAACAGATCGATGTCTTCGTTGCGTTCCTTACGGTAAGGGTAGAGGGCCCGATACTGGAAGCCTTCCGTGCTCCCCATAGTCCCCTGGAAAAGGGCAAGCAAATGCACCGGCGAGGGAAAAAATGGAAAAGAGGGGTGGGCTGAGGGTGGCTGTCCCACTTCCCTCTCAAGAGCTCTGCATGAAGATGAAACGACAGCTCTCCTGGGCCCGCTGGCATGAACGGCTGGGCCCTAAGTACAGCCCCGTCGTTCCCGTAACTTGAAGCCACGATTCAACCAGATGATGAAGCAAAGGCAGAACGTGACGAGCATAATCCAGCACTTGGAGGTTGGCTGGGGAGGAGAGGCAAACGACAGCTCAGGATCTCGAAGGCGTCGTGGAAGAAGTTGTGGTGCACAGGATTCTGGAACAAGTAGAGGAAGGGAGACCGTCACTCAGACAGCTTCAACAGCATGTTCCCTGAGTAAGAGGGCTAACACTTGTATTTGACTTTACGAGGTGTCCCAAGCAGCTAGCAGAAATGGAGCTTAGCACAACAGCAAGATAAAACACCAAGAATAAGGCAAACAGCAGAGAAAAACACGATTGACACAGCAGAAAGGACCGTCATCATTTATATTAGCAAAATTCACTGTACTCTTTCAGATTCTTTAACCTTAAAGGGGAAATTTTTTTAAACATCTATTTAAAAACTTTTCTTTAATAATATTTGTAAAATCAATAAATTCTAATGCATCTTTAACTTCCTCTTAACATAAATTCTTTTAAATACACTTTCAATAATACTTTACAAGCTTTAGGAATTACTCAAGCATTTTATATATACTGTATACCTATAAACAAACTACATTTTCAAACCCATTTTACAAACACAAAGCTACATTCAAACTTTATTTCAATTACATATATCAGAGTAGTAAAAATCTATCCTAACTCCAATTAATTCATTAAATTTAAGTCATTCCTTCCAGTTTATCCTCACAGAATAGTGCAAATAGAAATATATATTATTTTTCACAGTGAGAAAAAAAAATAGAGATGGTTAAATTGATTGTTTTAATAAAAGGAAAGAATATATCTAATTTTGTTTTTATTTGAAAACCGCTCCTGGATTTTGTGCTTGTGATGAAAAAAAATGAAATTCTATGATTTTGGTTTTGCTGATTAGATAGGTTCGTTGTTATAGAAATGGCTAGTATATATTACTGTATAAAAGTAAAAAGTAGAAGTTGTAATGTTATTATCTTCTACTGTGCTAAAAAGAGTCAGAAGTCAATGCCTTTTTTTCTTTTTCCCTTTCTACCCCACTTTCTCTTTTTCCCTCTCCCTCTAGTTTCCCATTATTTTCATTTTCCTTTGTATTTTATATTGTAATAAACTAATAAAAATTTTGATAACTAAAGAGATAGCAGAAAAGAAGCAACGGGAGGGGGGAACATTTCAATAAAAATACAGAAAGTTCTTAGAAATACAGTTGTGCAAAAATGGAAGGACATAGAAGTCCAAGTACAGGTACTCCATGACTTACAGCAAGCAGTGACTGTTTAGTGACCGTTTAGAGTTACAACAGGAGAGAAAAAAGTGACTTATGACCATTTTTCACACCACTGTTGCAGTATCCCCATGGTCTCGTGACCAAAACTCAGACGCCTGGCAACTGGTTCACATTTACGACGGTTGCAGTGTCCCGGGGTCACATGATCACGCTTTTTTGCGACCTTCTGTCATATGAAATCAATGGGGAAGCCAGATTCATTTAACAACTGTGTTACTAACTTATCTACAGTGATTCACTTAGCAGCTGTGGCAAGGAAGGTCGCCAAGTCCAGAACATTGGGGATAAAAGCAGCCAGATGTGCATGATAGTGGTCAGAGATCTGACCGCTTTTGTTCTCACCGGAATCTCTGAAAACAAGGATAGAATGGCTTAACTGCAACGCGAAGCGATCTCAGTTCCCAGCCTGTCATTTATGAACAAGGCAAGTTTTACCTCCCTTCTCCCTCTTAAGATGGATATCTCAAGTTTTCCTGCTCCCAATTCTCAGTATTTCTTGTAAGCTAGAAAATGTATGACAATGGATTTATTTAGGATATTTAAAAAAAAAATGGTTGGAGAGACTTGGAGCAAGCCGCAGAGAAGGGCATTAGAAGTTCACACTGTACTGGGAACAGAAGCCTGGAATTCATCTCTCTTTCACTCTCCCCTCTTTCAACCAATAGCACTCCCCCCCCCCATGCTCTCTCACACGCGTGCACAAACAAAATTGAAGAAGGGGGCTGGAGGAACTTCTGCCCTATTGTGCCTCAGAAATTTCTATCCCAGGGAACACTATCTCCCATCAGCCCTTCCCCCAAACCAACCCATATAATCTCTACTACTGCCTATATTAAACAGGCTCTGTGGGGAGAGAGAGAGAGAGAGAAAGAGAGATAGAGAGGGAGGAGGGGGAGAAAGAGAGAGAAAGAGAGAGGGGGAGAGAGAGAGGAGAGTGTGTGGAGAGAGAGGGAGGGGAAGAGAGAGAGGGAGAGAGAAGAGAGAGTGTGGAGAGAGAGAAGGAGGGAGAGGGAGAGAGAGAGAGAGGGAGACTTAACTCCTGCCCAAGTACAACAATCTAGCATTATCCCTAGAAAATTGCTGTATGGATAGAGAATGGGCTGGAAAAGAAATTGAATTAGATCAGGAAACAGCAATGGCAATAATAATGAGGATGGTTAAATTAAACTTCCAGCTCTTGTGTCGTGTATCTTACAGTCTCTCTTACATAAAAGAGTAGTGTTACTTCCTTGTGGGCCTTTGAGCTTCCCAGGGACTATTCTCTTTGGCCACTGTCTAAAGTCTCAGCATTATCTAACATGGTGGAGCAGATGAGTACTTGGATGGTAGACAATTCCAGGTATATGCTAATGTAGAAGGTAAAAAAGAAATACAGAGAAAACCATGGCAAACTAATGCCATACCACTGCCAAGAAAATAAACTTCCAACAGGCCTTTTAATCTGATTTGGAAAGATCTTTCCCATGTTCTTAATATATGCTGCTTTGAACTGATCGTCTTTTTTTAACTGGAGGGCCTCCTGATCTGCAGCACCTTGGTGATTTACTTGATTACACTCAATATATTTCCTCCTGTTCCTCATTCAGCCTTTGCCCACCTGGATATCTCTCCTACTGATTTCAAACTCCAACATTGCTGAGAATTATGTAAATCAAAGTTAAATACCAAATATCTGGACGATTCACATCTTTGGTTTCACAGAATTTAATATAAACCCATGGCTACTCTCAAGAGGCTCTTAAAATGGCAAAATTTCCTTCCAAAGGTGTCCATTTCACCCACTTGGAAGTAACAACTGTAGGAGTGTGAGAATCCCATTCAGGAGCTATTTTAACCTTGCCTTCAGGGACAAATTTTATAATCCAGAACTCCAAAAATGGATCCTATCTATGCGCCTCTTCTCTGACACCAACTTTCATGAAAATGGTGGCTAGATACATACAGCTTGTTTTTTGTCTGCTGAGCTGAGAAAGTGAACCAGCAATATCTAGGCCAGGGGTGGGTAACCTTGACTCTTTTATGACTCTTGGACTTCAACTCCCAGAATTCCTGAGCCAGCATGGCTGGCTCAAGAATTCTGGGAGTTGAAGTCCACGAGTCATAAAAGAGCCAAGGTTGTCTACCCCTGATCTAGGCCTTCACATTTTCTTTGCTATCTTCTCTATCGTTATTTAACAATATTACAGGTAGTCCTCAACTTACAACAGTTCTTTTAGTGGCTGTTCAAAGTCACATCATCCCTCAAAAAAGTGACTTATGACCATTTTTCACACTTACAACCGTTACAGCACCCCCCCACAGTCATGTGATCAAAATTCAGATGCTTGGCAACTGACTCATATTTATGACTGTTGTAGTATCCTGGGGTCATGTGATCGATCACCTTTTGCAATCTTCTAACAAGTAAAATCAATGGGGAAGCCAGATTCACTTAACAAAATGTGTTACTCATTTAACAAGTGTAGCGATTCACTTAACAACTGTGGTAAGGAAGGTTGCAAAATGGAGCAACACTTAATTCACAAATGTCTCACTTAGCAATGGATATTTTGGGCTCAATTGTGGTCATAAGTCAAGGACTAGCTGTAATGAGTTTGGAGTGCATTATAATATACAGAAGCCACCAAAAATACAAATACTGAGAGGGTAACTACAGGTAGCAGAACAGAAAAGGTAGACTTATTTTGCGAAACAGAGGCAAAAAAAGCAAATACATTTTACACAAGCTTGCAAGTTTTCTTCTTATGTCCCTCTCTTGAGAGCAGACCTGGAAAGATCCCAGTTGCTCATATCCATCATCTCTGGTTGATCATTCCTGTTCTGGTGGTCCTGGAGAGAAATCCATGATTCTTGGACAACTTGCAGCCTCTTGAACTAAGCCCTTTGTCTGCTCACCCCTTTGAAAAAGGACATCTTTTCTCTAGATCAGTGGTGTCCAACCTTGGCAACTTTAAGACTTGTAGACTTCAACTCCCAGAATTCTCCAGCTAGCCACAAGTCTTAAAAGTTGCCAAGGCTGGACATCCCTGCTGTAGATCTCAAATGTCTCCAGGGGACTTTAAGTTTTAATATTCCAAAATCAAAAGGCTTCTAAAGGGAGCTTTTCAGATGAATATATCTAATGAAAACTCATAGGTTTTCAGTGAACTGCAGGTCACTTTATCAGATTCACCTTCAGCTTACGCCTTATAATCAAGTCTATTAGCCTGAAAAGATGCTGTCAGATTCCTTTTGATTTTTTTTATATGGCTTTTTTCCTGCAAATATCTTTGACTCTCCAAAAACTCCTGTGACTTTACAGTATCCTCCTCTGACCCTTCCAGATCTCATGAAGTGGGCCTCACTCCCTCAGCATATTTAATAGTTCTACTTTAATTAAGTCCATATGGGCTGCATCTGAAATTGGCTCTTTGTTCACAGTTTCTAATTTAGTGCAGAATAATCACTGAAACCTGACATCCCTCACTCCCTAAAATAAACTTGGGGCCATTCCAAATTTTATGCTCCCATTAGACATTCTAATATGCACATGGGCAACGCAGAGCCC